TCTTGATCATAATGTACATGGTGTGGGATGTACCAATATAGATAAAAAATATAAAAACATAAGTATTATATATATACACAACACATAAGCAAAATAGTGAACATATGTATAAATAGTATATGCATACAGAAGGTGCCATAAATTAGCGTGAAAAGCTATATGCACTTGTCCTCCCTTATATATGGTTTCACTCTCCAAGGTTTCAGTACCTGAGGTCAATCACGGTCTGAAAACATCACATGGAAAATTTCAGAAATAAACGATTCATGTTTTAAACTGTGCGCCATTCTGAGTGACCTGATGAAATTTCAAGACATCCAGCTCCATCCTGTCCAGGACTTGAATCATGCCTTTGTCCAGCGTATATCCACGCTGCATATGCTCCCCATCCATTAGTCACTTAGTTGCCCTCTTGGATATCAGATTGACTGTTACAGTATGGCAGTGCTTGTGCTCAAGTATCCCTCATTTTTTAATAATGGCCACAAAGCACAAGGGCAGTGATGCTGGTAATTCGGATATACCAAAGAGAAGCTATAAAGTATTCCTTTAAGTGAAAAGGTGTATTTACAGCAAAAAAAACATAGTATATATACTGTTCTGTACCATCCATGGTTTCAGGCATCCATTGGGGTCTTGGAACACAACCCCTGTAGATGAGGGGGGCTACTAGATACTGATAAGCATGGTGAATGTAGCACTTGGAACACAATTCCAGGATATCTAGGCCAGCAACTAGTAATAGTGGGAGCTTCTGCAGCCTCTGATGGGGATAGGAAAACCATCCCAAAGCTTCCATTTTTTTCCCCTCTCACCTTCTCTGCAGCAATATAGCAACCAATGGCTTTCTATTAGCCCATGAGTACCTCAATAGCAATACTGTTTGGACTAGTCCAATTATTACACTAAACGTTTTAGAATAAATACCATGAAATGAGCAAAAAATAAAATAAAAGTATGACTTGAGGGGTGGGGGGAGTTTACAGGAAGAAAGACCATACCAGAGCAGAATTTCTTGGGTGAATATCCTATAATCTACCGCCAGACCAAAACAAATTTTTATGGAGCAATATGACTACTCAAGTAGCCACTTTTATGACAATAAACACCCAAAACCGAAAAATCCTTTTGTAACATAATTACTGAGAATATATAGAGAAAGCAACCATTTAATCCACAGCATGTGTTCTTGACCACAGAACTCAAAGGCTGACTTCAAGATGGGGTGTGGCTGGTCTAGGCCCTGAAAATGATTCTGGCCAGCTGAAGTGAAGCAGTCCTCTGGACAGGCTTGGGAGCTAGAAACCAAGCACGTCTCATGGAGCTTAAGACTGCTGACCCTCTGGGCACAGGGCAAGGCCCAACCGTTTACTCGCTTTTTGATTTTGGGAGCTGTGGTTGTAATGGATGAGTTAAGGCTGTGGTTACAGGGTGTTGCCAGTGATTTAATTTTAATATTTTTACTCTTACATTTTGTACATACTTAAGACTGAAAGCTGTACATAACTTGAAGGCTGAAAAGCAAATAAATGTGAATTTTGAAACAAAATAAATGAGCAGTGGGCAAAAATATAGGTATTTCCACTCTACTAGCATATGGTATTTTCAAAATGTAAATGTTAGAGGTAAGCACTGAAACTTATTTTAGGAATTATTTACAAAAATGAAAGTTATTTTCTAAAAGGAAAAGATATCCATGGTGTCCATTCTGAATGAAACTGGGAATTTTTAGCTCTTGCTCATTAATCAATACAGAAGTATAAATTGGGAGATTTATTTAACTAAAAAATGAATAACTTTTCAATTGAGTGTGTCATCTCTAGTGTTGTAGAACATAACTATTCTGTATTAATACACAAATCATCTACATCTAGATTTATGAGTGTGACATTAAGATTGTTTTACAATATAAAGAAAACAAACCATTTGACACCCCCATTTCAATATGGTTATTCTAATGTTAATTTGCATAAATATGAAACTCCACATTTCCCATTTTGTACAATGATGAAAATGTCCAGGGCCTTTATATATTCAACTATTTAATCACCTCACTGAGAAGGTTACTCAAAACTAGATTAACCAACACTGGCTTGAGTTCAAAATGCCCTCAGTATAGGCCCAGAAGGTGTCTAAAAATATATATATGTAATTAAGATCAAATTATTTTAATAAGTTGATTACAGCCTGCTTGATGATCTAACATCTAAAACTCACTCTGAGTCTGTTCGAGTCCATGTTTACCTTTCACAGAAGGACGGGAAGTAATCCCTGAGGGACATACATATTTTTTAAATGACCAGAACATTATTTGCAATTAGATGCCTGATCGTGCTCTTAAGAATGACCATCGAGCATCCTGATTTGTTCTTCCTTTGGCCAGGGGAGAGTGAGCACACCAGTGTTTGCAGTCCCTCCCCTTTCTGTACACACATAGGCTGCAGCTGTAGTAAACAACAACCAGCCAAGAGTTGCTAAGGTCAAGGTCTCAAATGCTATATATCAGGACTGGTTTTCTCCCAGATGACATTCAGTTGTTAAAACAGAACTTTGTGGAGAAAAAAATATTAAAGGCTCACTAGCACAACGATTTTCATTCAATAAACAGTAATACAAAGCATTCCAAAATAAAGTTTAGCTAACGAGAGTTTCTTTTAAATATGCATTTTTAAGTAATAAATAACTGAAGCACTTGAAAAATAAACAGGAACACCTTCAAGAATGTTTTGTTTACTGGTCACAGCTATATTAGTTACACAGTTTTAGTTCATAAATTATGAAAATTTCATGTGGAAACATTCCAAATTTTACCAGCTTAAGAATGCTTCATAAGAGTTATGGATTAGAAGGTAGACTAATAAACCCCTTTCCTAAACACATTACAAATTTCTGCCAATTCTCATATGCTCAAATTGGTCTCTCCCCAACTCATAGGAGCTTGATATACTCCAGGTAGTCTCCACATTGACCACGCTGCAGCAATGAATAGAACTTATGCAACTGAAATATTTGCCCTTCAATATCCTATTTCTACTAAGCTTCTCCAGTTAAACATTTTCTAGCCCAACAGTATACCTCTTTTTCCATAACCAATTTCTAGGTGGTTTCTAAAAATGTAAACATTTGAATGAGATTTGCAAATAGCACAATCGGGCTTTGGGGGGGCGGGGGGGACTGTTTTAATGAATGCTAATTCCAAAGAGCATTTCTTAGAAGATGATATGCACCCACTCTTCAAAGTGACCACCCCTGTCCCCATCACATGCTGCTGCCTGTAAAAAGACACCAAATTTATTTCAGAGCATTTACTTATCTAAACAACTCTATCCTCCAGTAAGAAAAGGGCAAGGAGGCGGCTAGGTGGATTTGCAGAATGACGTGTACTTGATTGGCAGATGTCTACCGAAGCCACTAGATGCACATGCACCAAATGTAAATAGAGCTGCTCATCTCCCTGGTGTTACAGAGAAAGTGAGAGAATATTAAAGCTGATTTAAAATAAAGCATCCGAGTGCTCCGCTGAGAATTCTATTAGCCAGTGGAATTGCTTCAAACAATCCATATAGAACCATACTTAAACCATCTGTACAGTTAAATTAGAGAGCTGACAATATTAACCACACAAACTGTTTATCCAGATTACACATTCCGTTGTACTAATACTCTTTAACTCTTTAACTCAAAGTCAGCTTTTATCAGCTGAATTAAGGCTATTACTATTAAAGTATGCAAAACTCGAAGCGCAGGGTGAAGGGGGTTGGGAAGCTACAGGGCATAAAACAAAGGAATTGGTACTTTTTCCAAGATTTGCTTCAAATACACTTTCGAAACAGAACTGTTGAGTGCACCCCACCCTTTTCCTCAAAGATAAAAGTTTTCGAAGTTCTAACAGGCAGTTCTCAACCCAACAAAAGCAGGATTGATTCTCCCCAAAGAGAAGCATCTAACTAGGACACGAGTAATGTCGCGGAGGTCAAGTCCGAGTCCTGAGAGCGAGCTTCTTAGGCAAGAAGTGGCTCCCAGAGCGGCTAGGCGGACTTCCCGGCCAGGGTGGACGTGCAAAGTTGGCCCTTGTCAACTCCAGCCAGGTCCCTTGTAATTGAAAATAACAGCCACGGGGCAGCCCCTGGCTACTTCCATGGACCAGGCACTGTAGCAAGTGACAGTTACACATCATTACGACCAGAGACAATACTGAATGTAGCACCAGGACCACTATTCATGCCAGCAGTGTCATCTCCGCCTTAACCCTTTCCCCTCCACTCTCCAGCGCACACCCAGAGCCCACACAGCCCCGGTGCGGCAGCTTTTCACCGAACTCGCTTTATTCCTGGGGGCAAACTACTTCCACAAGCCCTCGCCCCCAAATTCAGCCCTAGTGTTTTATTTCTCATCCTTAGCAACTGTCTGGCAAACACTGCAACCAACAATTCCATTAGGGGTAGAAAAACATTTGCTTAATTCACGTTACTTGTTAAGTTCTTTTAAAAAATAGCGGGGTGGGGGCTCCTTCTTTCTTCTCCAAGAATCCGACGGGCGATACTTGCTTTGCAATATCATAGCCCTCCCTCGGCCCCCTCCTGCTTCCCAACACTTTCCCCCTTTAAGAACACAGACCAACCAAAATGATTTAACTTGAGCAGATGACAGAAGGAAAATAAAACATGTTAAGAGAATACGGTCTGATTTGGGATGGCAAAAAAAAAAAAGAGAGAGAGGAGGGGGTTGTTTATTTTGATAAGAAACGGAATCGGCACAGACCTGAACAGAAGCTGCAGAGCAGGAGAAATTGTTTTCTTTCCCTTACACAGTCCCCCTCTCTCTCTCCCTTTCTCTCTCACACACGCGCGCGCACACTCACTCGCACACACGGCGTCACCCGCGCACACTCACACGCACACTCGCACACGCACAGGCAGAGCCTCTCAGCTGCTCTCTGCAGTTCTCAGGAAATGAATGGGGGGCAACCCAGGGAACTGTTGTACTTGCAAATGACTTACCCGGATCACATGATGCACTAAATGTAGGGTGGGCCGGTGGGTGGAGGCTGCCGAGACGCGAGCCCGGGTCTAGCGTGGGGAGCCTCGCCAGGCCCGCATCGAATTACCCCGGGGCCCAGGCGAGGGGTTTGCAAGACGCGGCTTCTCCTCCCTTGCAGCCCGCAGCTCAGGAAATCGGAGAGGCGCGGGGGGGTGGGGCGGGGCGGGTGAGCTGGGGGGTGAAAACACCAAACCCCCAAACAAAAGAGCT